TCCTACGATGCACGACGAGTCACTTGTTCGCGTACAAGCGCGGCCGCCAGCGCGTAGCCTTCGCTACCGCGGCCGCTCGAACGGTCTACGCGCGCTCTGATTGGTCGGGGTTTTCGCTTAATATCTCCTTCACGAAGCCCCATCCGACATTTTTGCAAAGGAAATTGTTGTTCAGAATCGTCTCAGCTACCCCCCGTTTCCGGCTCCTCCCCGACTTTTGGGACACCCTGTATATGTGTATATGTATGCAATGTAACTGCACATAGATAGCAACAATATTTTGTACCGTATGAGTTAGTACATTAACATTGTACATTAACATTAATGTACTACATATGATAAGAATTTATGATGTACAAACAGAAAACAATATTTTTACATATTCTAAAAAACTAAAACTTGAAACAGTAACAGTTGAAAAAGTTTATGGTAATCGTTTAATTTTAGTATACACGAATAATTAATGTAAAATTGACGAAACATTGGCCCGTCTATTTTTTTTATACAAAAATCTACGAAATACTTACAATAAGCATTATTGTTATTTTCCACTCGTTTCGTGATTAGATACCTACCTAAGGTCATATTAGTTTTTGATCGTTGACAGAAACAGTTTTCTTCTGCTCTATGTAACCTACATAATCGACCACCTGATTCGCAATTACGTGTATAATAATATCAAACAATATTTTGTTATAATATTGTTCATAAATTTTCGTGTCTACTTATCAGTGAGTTTAATAATATAGTATGATAGTTTATATTTTATGTGTTTGTCGTGTGAACTCGTATAATCAATTTCGATAAATTGAAAATTGTACTAAACATTTACAATTAATCGCTATTGAATTAGCTAATCATATTTGTTTCGACATTTTTTAGGTCATATTTATATTGATATATAGTAGATATTTATATATTTTACGATCATTGTTCAATTGTCCGTTTAGGTTATGGCATAAGACCAAATTGTAAGACAATTATAAATTAGCAAATCAAATACAAATATTCAACACTTATCCATATAATAATTAGTAGTATACAAAATCAGAAGAATTAATAAGTGTACTTATAAGAGAACTCATAAAAGCACAGTATATTTTCTTAAATGCAATTAATAAATCATATGAAATTTGCTTAGTACCCTAACTTTCTTATAAACATATTATCTTAACATACCATTACAATTAATTTTGTTTAAAGTGTCAACAATGACAAGCCAGTATGAGAAGTTGTCGTGGAAAGGTAAATGTAAATAATTTCTTGTAATATTCTAAGAACATATAAACTAATTTCGATAATGAAATTTAAAATTGAATATTTCAATGTTTTCATGGATTTTTAATGTGTAGAAGTACGAGAGTTGTTTAGAATATGGAGAGAGGACAGTGAACGCAGAAGTAAAGATGTAGTCATTTTGTGGAAAAATAAATTGGCACCAAAAATCAATCAACTTGGAAATGAAAGTATGATATAATGATTTTTTTATGAAAATTATTTTTATTAAAATACTGACATTAACCATCTTTATAATAATTCTTTATGTAATTTTTGTATAGAGTATCTGATCTTGGAACAAGTTTGTCTAGCAGCATTGGATTGTTATCACCTTTCGTTAGCAGAATATTGCATTAAAATATTAACAACAGAATTTCGTAGAAGTCTAAGAGTTCATAAATATCATGCCATGCAAATGGAAGCTATGGAATTGTAATGTTCATTTATTTAAAATATTATCAGAAAAGTTTCATTTAAAATGTTATTGTTTGTTATATTATAGTGTTACTATGTATGTCTGTACTATCTAACAAAAATAAAATTCATTTATAGATATGATGAAGCTCTAGAAGTATTGGAGTTTATTATAAAAAGAGATGAAACTAATGCAGCACCAAGGAAGCGACGAATAGCTATATTAAAAGCAAAAGGTCGAACATCAGAAGCTATTAAAGAGCTTACAGAATATTTGAAGAAGTCAGTACTTGAATAAAATTTTATTGATAATTTAGGACTGTAATATATTGTGTTAATTATTTCTTACAGATTTATGAGTGATCAAGAAGCATGGCACGAATTGTGCGATTTGTATTTGCAAGAACAAGAATACTCTAAAGCAGCATTTTGTATGGAAGAACTTATATTGCATAATCCACACAGTCACTTAATTTATCAAAGATATGCAGAAATAAAATATTCCCAAGTATTGGATATTGCGTTTAATTTTATTTATCTCAATTTCGTTGAATTTATAAATAAATAATCACTTACTTTCAGGGTGGATTCGACAATATGGAATTAGCCAAAGCATACTTTTGTCAGGCTGCAAAGTTAAATCCAAATAATATCAGAGCTCTCTATGGTCTCTTATTGGTAAGGATAATATTTATGTACATAACCATTTTTTTATTTATAATTAATTATTTATGATCATTTTATTTTCAGGCATCAAACAATATTGCTACATCGCCTAAATGCCCTTCATCTAAAAAGAAAGACGCAATAAAATTAAGTGAATGGGCAGCTAATCAAATAGAAAAGCAGTATCAATCAAAAGTTTCAGACGAAAATGTTAAAACAGTAGAAGGATTACTAGGACAATTGCAACTTGACGTTTAGATATGCAAATTTATATGTATGTATGTGTTTAAATATTGTAACATATGTAAATGTACTATTCATTCCTAACGATTTATACACAAATGCAATCTATTATAATTAATTCAGAAATATTTACACAATCATCCTCCACGGATACAGCGCTTATACAAATATGATATTTGCTATGGAAAATGCAGCAAAACATAATTCATTAGTTACATAATTTATAAAATTTAATTAGAAAACACAATTCACTAGAATAAAAATGTCAGAATATAGTAAATAAAAGTTTCTAACTTTATAACAGTTATAATTCGACGGAAGAATTAATATTTATTTCAATTCGAATATGTCTCCTTGTTATTGAATATATTACACATTTCTATACATCTTGCGTATTTCTCTGAATTGCATATACGATGACAAAGGGTAATAATTTTGCAAAAATTATATTCTCAACTATTAAATTTGGTGAAAACAATAAACATTTATTACACATAAAATAATTACAGAGTCATCTATGTGAATTTTCTTTATTATTTCGTTCCCAAAGCTCTCTGTTTTTTGCTTTCTCTCCTGCTTTCTTTAATCGTTTTTCTTTTCGGCTTTCGTTTCGTAATGCAAAATATTGTTCTCGAAAATCGGTTAAATTTGAAGAAATTGTTTCATCAGATTCCTGAAAAAAGAAAATGTTAATAAATATACACAAACATTTTGTGAATCATATTTTCATAATAATAATTGTCCAGTCGTACCTTTGGATTTTTTATTTTTCTATAAGTTAATAATCTGCGACTAGTATAATTACTAAGTACTTGCTCTGAATTAGCTATGAGTTCTAAACATGTATGTGTTGGTAATTGGAGGTCTGAATACTGATCTCTGAAATAATATTGATTAGTATTGCATGCATTTAAAAACTGATAAATACTATTAGTATACTTTACCTAAACAAAGGAAACCAACACACTAATCTTCCATTTGTTTTTAAATGTTTAGCAGAGAAACTTAATAGATCTCTATAGATCTCAGGTAAACCATAGCCAACTTTAGAAGGTATGTGAGAAGATGCTTGATGTTCTTCTATCACTGGATTCGATTTAGTTGTACCTATCTTTTCTGTTGCTTCTCTTATGCCATAAGGAGCTGTAAGAAATAGAAATCGAAGTAATAAATAATCAAACTAATTGTACGAAATATATATCAATAAGATGAGATCATACTTACGGTCGGTAATTATAGCATCTACATACATATCTGATCGCCATAAAGGAACAGAAAAATCTGATACAACTACATCAATATAATAAGAACTTTTGCCATACTGACTCATATTCGCAGCAATACTTTCATCATCTTCCCTAATCTAATAATTATTTCAATAAAAATCGCGTAACAAGGTCAGGAGTGAATAAATTATTACCTTTTGCGTTATTCGCGTAGGTCGTGTACGTCCATGAAGCATTAAAAAGTCTATATCTGTTCCTAATGTGTATCCTCCAAAATGAGATGCAGCAACTAGTAAAGATCCAGTGCCGACAAAAGGATCAAGAACAATATCCCCTTTTTGAACTTGAGCCTGATTTGCCATTATTAATGACAATTGAGGATCCATAGACGTATTACCTATAAATTTTCTGGTTTTCAATGATAATTTCTGAATTAAATCTCTTTGCCCACTTGTAATCTAAAAGTATACAAATATTTGAAGCATAATATAGACATAAAGGAGTGGTATAATGGTATACAATATAAAGTTGGTTACCCATCGACCAAAAAAGAGTTCATAAGGTGTATTAGGAATGTTATTAGGATCCAATCCATAAAATTCTATGTAACAGAAAGTTGTGTCAGGATTATTTAATTTCACTGGTCCTTCCAGGGGTAAGTAACTGAAAGACTTCAATAAAATATTAAACTTTCCATAAAATTTACTGTAATATATTAAATATTATTAATATCCCAATTAATAATTCGGCTAACTGGGCACAAATAATTGTTTCACAATAAATAAAATTGTATGTACAACATCTATACAATGTAATAAACAAGAACTTTTTCCCAATTTGTATACTTACTTCAATTTTCTTTACTTTTTCACTCTGTGAAAAATGTTTACAAAATGTTTCAACTTTTACTTTAAACGATTTCTGTGGCCCTCCATATTTCTTAATTTCTGCAATTGGATAATTTTTCAACTTGTTGTGCAAATCATCATACTTTTTGCTATTAGCCCATAGTTCCATACAAAACCGTACACAGACAGCTCTGCTTGATATTTTAATTGCTACTGCCTCTGAAGGCAAATTAACAATCCAATAAGGCTGAAATGAAAACTAAATAAATATAATAAAATAAATCAAATATTAAATATATAAACTATCTTGAATAATAATTTTTATTAAAGACTTTACCAAAACATATGCATCTCAATATTTAAACATACTAATATAACAACAGTTTATATTTGATTATTTTATTCTTTAAATTACCATATTCGAAAATATTAAAATAATTTGACTTTCTTACACGGTCATTCCAGTTTGGATGGGGAAGGGCATTTATATTAAACATAGAAAGAATAGATTCCATTTCCTAAACAAAAAAGTTGGAATGCAATAACGAACGTTTCATACAATAAAAATCAAATAAACAATAACACTCACATGTGCACGAAAATTAACGTGCTCGTGGGCGAACCAAAAAAGATACTTGATCCATTGATTGTTCATTGTTACTGTTTATTATTTATTCTTGCTAATTCAACAGAGTAGTATTATTCAAGCGATGGGTTAATAATATCGTTGAAATTATAATTTAATACAAAAGTACTAATTCAAAACAGTTTTGTGTATGCCGACATAAAATTAACATCGGCATGGTTTACAACATTCACATTCCTAGTACGAGCTTGTAAAATTCATACAAATAGGATTTAGATTGCTGAATTGTATTACAAATTATTATGTATAGACTGAGTTACATTATAAATCATCATATGTACATATCTATGTAAATACAAAGGTTACAACACATTAAATATTAAAAGGCTTACAATCAACAATGCAAACCAATGTGACCAACACTGACCACTGTTATTCACACACCGACAGCACGTTACGATACGCATGCTTATTGGAAGCCATAGATAAATAAACTATAGTGAGCCACTTATTATTGGAAAATTATACCATTACACCATTATCTTCGCAGCGTACGAAATTGAAAATGTTAATCAATACATTATCAAATGAACACTTTCTAGCATCGATCAATGAGATATTGATCAAATTGTAATACTAATAGCAACAATTCAAATATAATACATTAAAAGCTGTTGGAATGTTGCACAAGTAAAATTACAAAATATTGAAAGAAAGTGTAGGTATTCTAATGTTAAAAATGAAAAAAAAAGAACGACTCGATCGAATGTACTATACACGAAGCGAGAAATATACGAATAACGAAAATGTATCGATTAATAAAATACATGTAATTACAGATTACAACGTTAAATTTCGTGAAACAATAAATGATTAGATAGAAAATAAGAGCAACGAAAAAAATATAGGATGTGCGAAAAGGATTTGCAAAAAGATAGCAACGTGAACAAATAAGACGTAAAAAAATGTGGTTCCAAGAATAAGATTAACGATAAAATAACGATAGCAGGTCGTTAATTCTGCAAACGCGGGATCGCGAAATAATTTAAAGGGGTCGGTAAAGAAGAAAACGTTGATTTCGTAATCGACAGGATCTGGAGAATCGTGTCTAATGGGATAGTATCCGAGGGGGCGCCATATTCGTAGCGAGACTTCTTGTTGTTCTCATTCTAAGGTGGAATACCACTCGTCACTGTTTTCTGTTGTGTTTTTAGGCTGGGAATCAGACGAAAAACATGCCGTTTCGATAATCGAATGAGAAACAAAAGACTCTTAGGGGAGAGTTGTAGTATTCAGGTTCGAGGAAGGTGCCGTATTACGGGGGTGTGTGAATGGTGCAGGTGTAATTTAATAAGAGCAGGGGAGGCTGGCGATTTAATAGGATATTGATTTGTCCGCGACTGCCTTGCTGGCTCCATCGCACACACGAACCAGGTAGCCATGAACGTCGATATTTTTGGGGCACTGGCTGGTGCAATGTGTTGGCCGTACATATGCCGTGCTCTAACGTGCTTGCTGGCCTGATAGGGCCCGAAATGCAAACAGCCACTGGCGATATGTATTAACGGTACGAGAGCGAATTACGGGTCACTACGACGACTACTACCAAGTACGATTATAACGACCATCACGACGGCGACCACGACGGTGACGATAACCACGACGGCGGCGGCGACGACAACGCCGACGACGACGGCGAAAACGGTGACGACCACGACCACGACCACGACTGATACGGTGACGGTGACGGGAAAAACGACAGCAACGGCAGTAACGTCAAAGACGTGTTCCTTGGACAAAAAGAAAGTGGTATTGTTGCTGCACCCTGTATATTTTACAGAGAGCTTTGTTACATTGGCATAATTAATATAATAATGCATAATTAAGATATCCGAGACAGAATGGATCTTACAAATAATGGAGCATCAGGGGGTGCAGTGGCTTGTCCAGTATGTACCCTCTATTTACGGGAGGGTATCAGCTTACAAAGACATTTGGACACTCATCCGAAAGAACAAGTCATTGAAGCTCTTATCAAAGCCAGTAGCAATTCACCTTTACCTTCGCAACAAGCACAGTTGTTACCATCCGTGTCACCGACATCTCCATCTGTACAATCGCCGCAGAGTACACCACCAGTCGCGCAAAATGCTCATCTGCCAACTCAATCTCCATATCCTATAGGACCTATCTTTGAGTGTCCACCGATTGGAACAATGATGCCGCCTCAGTTTGCTTCGTTTAGCTATCAACAATTTGTAAATAATGGCACTATGATGATACCACAGTACGCGATGGCTCCACAGAGTAATCAAATGATGCAGATGCTGTATAATCCGTATGGTATGTACCAGCAGCAACAAATACCAACTGTTCAGATGATCTCACCAGTGACAGCCATACCTAATACAGCTAGAGTTAGGCCAGTGATGACTGTGGCTAGCGAAACAAATAGTAGGACTGCCATTGCTGTATCTGTAAATAATTCCGAGCCAAAACAAATCTTACCTGAAATTTTACCAGAACCAGATCAAGAATCTAAAGAAGTGTTACCAGATATCAATCTTCCAGTCTCTCCCCCGTCATTAAACGAACATAATTCTATACAGCGAAACGAAAGCGATACTAGTACAATCGAAATAGAACATGAAGAACAGGAATCCCATAACTTGGGTTGCGAAAATCAGCATGCCATTCAAAGTGATTTCGATAGCATTCCAAGAACATTGTCAGTCACTTGTAATGTTATTACTGCAGAAGATAAAGTTGAGAGTGTACTGCCGGATATCGACAACGGTGAATCGTCGGATATTGTTACTGCAGACGTGCAGTGTAAAACAATTCATTACGAATCGTCGAATATACAAGAATATGTGCATAGATATAAAAATGAAGATGATGCTAATAAAGTTCCAATGCCTGAAGTATCTTCTATGATGACAGAGAATGAGACAGTAGAATCAACTATTGAAAAAGTTCCTCACAGAGAAGAATTAAATGCAAATGAAGGCACCTCACCTCAAATGCCTCTAGAGAGCACAGTAAAAGAATCACCTCAACCTGAAGTAGAACAATTAGAACGTCTTTTAATCACTATTATGGAATCTGAGTTTAATAATGAAGCACATAAAGAGCCTGATGCTGAAGATGATCAAAGAAGAAATGAAGAAACAAAACAAAGTTCTGTAGAAAGAGCAGAGAGTGTCATTCATGAAATATCAAGCAGCAATTCCTGTGAACATGAGAGCAGTTGTAAATCTGATGTAGAGATGATAGCTAATGAAAGTTCAGAAATTGTTATAGATAAAGAAGAAATCACGACTTCTTGTCTTTTATACCATTATAAAAATAGTTTATCTGCACCTCCATCACCTGTTATTGTAAAAAGAGCCTATAGAACTTACACTAGTCGTTCTGAATTTGGTTCTAATGAAAATTTCAATTCTTACCCAGGTGATTTTTATTCAAATACATTGCAAGATGAAGATGATGATGAAGACGAAAAACAAGAAATAGAAGACAATGAAGATGAAAAAAATGAAACAGAAGATAACTTTGATGAAGCTGATATGGACATAGAAGAAATACCTAGCCCTCATACACCTTTTGTTAAATATGGGGAGAGTGGAGAATATATTAGATCGCATACTCCATTATCTGTATGCAGTGGTATCTCTGTGCTAAGAGTTAGAAAGGATCTCAGTAAACCATGCTCACCTGCTTCTGTACATTCGTTTTGTCATATGGATACCAATGGTTTAAGTAATGATGAAGAAAGTAACACAGGAATGGATGCATCATTGGAAAAAGATCCTATCGATTGTTCTTTGATCGAACGAGACGTGAAAACAGATGGATCGGAGATTTCTGTATGTGAAAATATTATTGAGAGTAAAATGGAAGGGAATTCAGCATATCAATCTGTAATCACCGAGCACGTGAGCTCATTTCCTACAATTCACTCGCAACAATCGTCGTTGGTACACGATCCATATACTAGTACACCAAATAAAAATCATAATCTCGTAAATCTGTCAGAATCTATTGATGTTGCAAGTAGTTCTGACTCAAAGAGTTTCCATTCTTCTAAATCAATTATACAAAAGCAGTCGATGGAACTCCTTAGTTTAAACGAAGACGCCCATGCAGGTCCAATGAACGTTTTCGAATTTGATGGGCTTCAAATCTTAGTTCCTAGTACATTTATAAGCGACTCGTCGCAAAAAGCTGTCAGTGCAACCAGTCAACAGTCAATGGCAAGTAGCGAAGGTGGAGTAGGTATAGATGAAGAGGTCAAAAGCATTAACATGAGGGCTGATGAAACTATGCCACCTAGAGGTGAATTATCGGAACAAGAAAGCAATGGATGTACAGAACAATCTGCTTGGCAGGTGTGTACATAATTTGTCTTTATGAGCACTGTAATATCCATTTTTAATACAGACAAAAAGGAATACAATATATCGAAATTTGAGAGTTCTTCTAGTCTATCTAATCATGTACTATTACAGTATATTTCATAGAATAAGTAAGTCAATGTATGTAAGTTTTTGAAACAATACAAGATTTCTTTCTTTGTTGCATGGCATAGATAAAGACATAAAAGTTTCGATATAACATCTATTCAATAAAATATACATATTTTTCTTATTAAATATTTGATATAAAGATTTGTCAGCTGGAAATCTTGCTTTAATCATACAATAATTTAAAATCTTCAATTCAAAAATTATTTACTGGCATTATATGCGAATTCTATGCTTATACGTTGTGTTTTTTTATATTTAGCTGTATGCTGGTCAGGAGTCATCACGCATGTCGACCTCTTACGACTTGATGGCACGTGAAAGTTGGGAAGAATCGGAAGGATCGGACAATGAAATCAGCGGTCCTCTATTAGATAGCAGATCTTTAGCTACACATTTTACATCAAGTTTATTCCTAGATCGAGATAGAAAAACTCCAACAAAAAGAACATTCAAGTGTTATCATTGTCCAGAAATATTCGATTGTCCAAAAGAACGCAGAGTACATAGTACTACGACGCACAAAGAAGCTGGACCGAGTAGTAGTAGAGATCCTATAGATCAACCCGAGGTAAAGGATATCAAGTTACTGGATGGCCGCATGAACGCGTTCGAGGATATTTTTGTACCAGGTTTACATGTGCAACAAGTTTATCATCAGCAGCCACTATTACATCAACTTCAACCGCCACAGTCGTCAGAGTTAACTGCAAAAGTAGAACCTGATCAGAAAATCGAGACTTTAGTAATACCATCTAACATCGAGGTGATCTGCACTTTGTGCAATCAACGATTTAATAGTGAAAAATCATTGCAGTTACATCATACAAGAGTACATATTTCAGAAACAAAACGAATTCGCGAGAGTACCAAGTGCCAGATATGCCACGAAGAATTTCCTTCGGTT